ATACAACACGCATATGCCACGCATGAATACAACATGCATGCAACAAGCATGCATACACAATGCAGAACGCAGACACAACGCATACGATGTGCACACAAAATGCAGAAACACGCATACAACATGCATCAACATGCACACTAAATGCAAATGTCATGCAAACACAACGCATACAACATGTAAACACAATGCATACATCGTGCAAACAACATGCCTACCAGACGCATACAACCTGCGTGCAACATGAATAGAACATGCATACATCAGTCATACACAAGGCGTACGGCACGCATACAGAAGTCATACATTGCGTGCGCAATGCGCATACAACATGCGAACAAGGGTGCGCACAACAAGCGTACAACAGGCACGCAACACGCATACAGCATGCATACAGAATTCATACACAACACTTACACAATGCATACAGCACGCCTACAGCAACACCATCATACAACATGCACGCAAACGCATGCAACATGCATACAACATACAATGCAACATGCAGACAACAGGCACATAAAATTTCTACACCATGCATACAACACACATACATCATGCATACAAAATGCAACCGTCATGCAATCAGAACGCTCGTCATCCATAAAATATGCATACAACATGCACACATGCATAAAACATGAACAAAGTGCATGAACGGTAGGTGCAACCCGCGTACAACACGCACGCACAATGCACACACGCGCATACATCATGCATACAACATGCGTACAGCACGCACACACCGTGCAAACAACATGCATACATCAAGCATACAGCAAGCAAACAACAAGCATACAACAAGAATACACAATGCATGCAACATGCGTGACAATTAAACACACACATACATACGTATACATTACATTACATTGCATACATACATTACATTACATTACATTACATGCGTGCACACACACATTACATACATACATACATACATACATACATACATACATACATACGTACGAACGTACATACATACCACACATACCATACATTACATTACATTACATTACATTACATTACATTACACTACATTACATTACACTACATGTCACACATACATACATTACATACATACAGACAGACATAGCATTACTTTAACACATACACCCATACATACATACTTACGTACGCACATACATACATATATGACACACATACATTAGATAACATGACATTGCATTACGTCACATTTAATGTGACATTACATGACATTGCATAGCAGGCAGGCAGGCAGGCAGGCAGGCAGGCAGGCAGCTAGGACCTAGGAAGACAAAAGGCCAGCCAGCAACAATCCGAAAGTCGTGCTCGGGAGCACCGACAAGAATCAGCAAAACGGGAAACAAAAAGCGGCATCAAAGACACAGAAACCGCTCATCCCCGCGTCTTCGCATCATCAAACCGGCGAAAACGTGAAACAGCCCGGAGTAAGGCCGGAGCGGTACCCTCGCACCGTTCGGGTTGGACAAAAACACAGAACAACACCTGCGGGATCAAAACCAAAAGGCTCAACAAAAAGACTGCGGCAATTCACTTTACGGGGGTTGTTTTCGGGGCGGTCGGGAGTTATAGCCACCCGGGGGCTATATAAAAACCAAATGCATCACCAGCGCGCCAACATCATCAGCACCCCCCAATCAACCCCCGCTGCCAGAACAGAGGAGAAAGTAAGAAACGGCTTCAAGCCCTGCGCGGATCAATCTCCGCCCAACCAGATCTCCTCGGATCGCGCGCTCAGGGCATGAAGCTGTCTCTTCTGTTCTCCCCGCTTCTAGTAAATCAAAGTCAACCTCAGAACAACACTCCCTTCGCACGGCGCCTGAAGTACGACGGCGCGCAGCCTCCTCCTGTGCCAGTAGCCGCTTGCTTTCTTGCTTGCGGACAAGCCATCGCACGGGCAGGAAGCAAGCGAGCAAACAAGAAAACAGGCAGGCAGGCAGGCAGGCAGGCAGGCCAGCACGCAGGCAGGCAACAGGCGAGCAGACGAGCAGAACAAGAAGACCTGCAAACAGACAAGCAAAAAAGCAGGCACACAGACAGGCACCTTGCAGGAGAAAGGAAAAGCAGACAAGCAGCCACACAGGAAGGCAAGCTAACAGACAAGCAAGTAGGCAAGCAAGCAAGCAAGCAAGCACGCAGAGATGCAGGAAGGCAAGCTAACGGACAAACAAGTAGGCAGGCAAGCAGGCACGCAGACAAACAGCCAAGAAAACAAGCTGCGCACGAACGCAGGACAGCAAGCGAACAGACAAGCAAGCAGGCACGCAGGCAAGCAGCCAAGAAAACAAGCAGCATGCAAAACAGGATGCGTGAGGACGCAAAACACAAAAACAGGAAGGCAGGCAGGCAGGCAGGTGCGCAGGCAGGCAGGTGGGGAGGCAGGCAGGCAGCCAGACAGCCTACAAGACACAAGGCCAGCCCCAAATGGGGGAGGGGTCGTGGCCGACAAGAATCAGCAAAACAGGCCACATAGCACAAAAGCGGCATCACAGATACAAGAATCCTGCAAACCATGCGGCGGGCGTCGGGCGGCGAGTCGTGATGTTGAAGCACGGCGGGCAGCGGGCGGCGGGTGGCGAGTCGAGGTCTTGACGCTGGGCTGGTGTCGATCTTGACGCACGGCGTGTGGCAGGCGCCGGCGGCTATGACGTCTGACCCTCCGCGCTGCGATGTCTGACTCTTCTGACATTTGGGTGTCTGACTTTATTGTTGGATGTCTGGAAAGACACCTTTTCTCCAACGCCAAGACTCCAGGGCTGTAACAAGCCAACATAGTAGTGTTCACAAGGGGTTGGTTTCAAGTAAACAAAGCTTTAAAAAAGAACGGCCGGATGCCCCTGAATCAAAAGAATGATTTGACAAACGCATCGCTGACTCAACTGTTGCGCTGGGCGTCTCATTCTTCAGGGCGCCCCAGCCCTCTTTGCACCTCGGCGTGCAGCGAAATCGACGGTAGCACATCGCCCGGCCCCTGGGCTCACAAACATCACTTTACAAGGCTTCACAAAACTCTGGGACTTGCTGACTCAAGCAAAACAGGAGCGCCCTTGTTTTCCTTTTGGGCTTGTTTGTAACTTTGCATTCTTCTGGGTACTTGTGCAACGCAGCACTGTCGACCAGCCCAAGCTGAGGTGAAATGAAGCAGCTCGGGCAATGTTGCCGTGGGCACATTCGGGTGGCTTCAAAAGGCCACTGCCTGGAAAACATGCGCTTTAGATTATGTTGGAGGTTTCTTATTCAAACCACGCTCACATACTTAGACACTCATGGCCATACTCCTACAACCATACGATGAGCTGAGCAAAGACCAACTAACAACCAACTAAGGGACAAACAGACTGGCACACAAACAGCCTGACACACACACACAGATGGACGAGCCAAACAAAAAACGAAAAAACCAACACACGCACTGAAGAAAAGTTGAAACTGAGCGGAACGAAACCAAACAAAACCGCAACAACAACAAAAAAAGCAGCAACACGAAAAAACAACAACAGCAACAGCAGCAGCAAACAACAGCAACCACAACAACAACAACAACAACAACGACAACGACAACGACAACGACAACGACAACAACAACCACAACCACAACAACAGCAACAGCAACACCAACAACAACAACAACAACAACAACAACAACTACTACTACTACTACGACTACTACTACTACTACAACAGCCACACCAACAACAATGACAGCAGTGCCAACAACAAGAACAACAACAACAACAGCAACAATAACCACCATCAACCGCAACAACCACACAAACAACAGCCGCAACAACAACCATCCAACGACAAGCAGCAACAACAACGACAACAACAACAACAACAGCAGCAGCAGCAACAACAACAACCACAACCACAACCACAACAACAACAGCAGCAGCAGCAACAACAACAACAACAACAACGACAAGAATAACAAGAACAACAAGAAAAACAAGAACAACAAGAACAACAAGAACAGCAGCAGCAGCAACAACAACAACCACAACCACAACCACAACCACAACCACAACAACAACAGCAGCAGCAGCAGCAGCAACAACAACAACAACGACAAGAATAACAAGAACAACAAGAAAAACAAGAACAACAAGAACAACAAGAACAGCAAGAACAACAAGAACAACAACAACAACGACAACAACAACAACGACAAAAACAACGACGACAGCGACAACAACGACAACGGCAACGACACCAACAACACCAGCAACACCACAACAACAACACGAACACCAACAACACCGACAACAACAACAACAAGAACAACAACAAACACACCGACAACACCAACACCAACAGCAACACCACCAACAACAACAGCAACAACAACAACCACCAACCAACAACAACCACAACAACAACAACAGCAGTGGCAACAAGCCACAACAACAGCAGCAGCAACAACCGCAGCAGCAGCAGGAACAGCAGAAATAACTACAACCACAACAACAACCAGCAGCAGGAGCGACAACAACAACCGCAACAACAACAACCAGCAGCAGGAGCAACAACAATTTCGGCAGGAGCCAAAACCACAACATTTGTCCATCCATTCGCTCATTCGTTTGCTGATTCCTTTCTCGCTTATCTATGTTACTTCATCACTCATTCATCCGTTCCTTCATTCATTCTTTCATTCATGCCTGCGTGTCATTCACTCAACCGTTCATTCATTCATTCATTCATTCATTCATTCATTCATTCATTCATTCATTCATTCATTCATTCAGTCATTCATTCATTCATTCATTCATTCGTTCACACAACAACAAGTCAAACACCACCACCACCAATGGCAACAACAGCATCAGCAGCAGCAGCAGCAGCAACCGCAGCATGAGTTACAACGACCACGACAGCAACAACGACAACGGCAGCAAGAACAACAACAACGACAACGACAACGACAACCACTTCAACAACAACAACAACTACTACAACAACAACAACAACGACAACGACAACCACTTCAACAACAACAACAACAACAACAACAACAACAACAACAACAACAACAACAACAACAACAACAACAACAACAACAACAACAACAACAACAGCAGCAGCAGCAACAACAACAACAACATCAACAACAACAGCAACACACGACAAACAACAAACCACAAACGACAAACGACAAACAACAACAAACAATAAACAACAAACAACCAAACAACACACAACCCACAACAAAAAACCAACAACCAACAACCAAAAACCGACAACCAACAACAAACAACAAACAACAAACAACAAACAACAAGCAACACGCAACACACAACAAACGACAAACAACCAACAACCAACAACCAACAACCATCCAAAAACCAACAACCAGCAACCAACAACCAACATCCAAAAACCAACAACCAACAACAACCAACAACCAACAACCAACAACCACAACAACAACAACAACAAGGCGCCGCGAGGTGGATGTGGCTTGTGGTTTTTCTCAGTCAATTGGCCAGCAAGGGAAGCTGAAAACCTGCGTTTTTCTGCGTTCTGGTGGAAAAATCCCTTGTTTGGGCCTTTCGTCGTTGATCGAGACAAGACAATGACACGGACACCATTAACACATACAGCGCTGAGCGGGCACACTGCGCCGGGTGTTCTTACCATTTGCCTGGCCTGGATACAGCGCTGCTGAGCGGGTGCACTTGAGCAGGGGTGCTCCTACCATTCGCCTGACAAGGATACCGCGCTGAGCCGGTGCACTTGGGTGGGTGTTCTTACCATTTGCCTGGCATAGATTCAGTGCTGAGCAAACACGCTGAGCCGGTGCACGTGAGCGAGTGTTCTTACCATTTCCCTGGCATGGGTACAGTGCTGAGCGGGCGCGCTCGAGCAGGTGTTCTTACCGCTTGCCTGGCATGGATACAGTGCTAAGCGGGTGCGCTCGAGCGGGTGTTCTCACCACTTGCCTGGCATGGATACAGTGCTGAGCAGGTGCGCTCGAGCGGGTGTCCTTACCATTTGCCTGGCATTGTTCTTACCATTTGCCTGGCATGGATACAGTGCTGAGCGGGTGCACCCAAGCGGGTGTTCTCACCATTTGCCTGGCATGATTACAGTGCTGCGCGGATGCGCTTGAGCGGGTGTTCGTACCATTTGCTTGGCATGGATACAGTGCTGAGCAGGCGCACTCGAGTGCGAGTGGGTGGTCTCACCGTTTGCTTGGCAGGGATACAGTGCTGAGCGGGTGAACTTGAACGCGTGTTCTTACCATTTGCCTGGCATGGAGACAGAGACTGAGCAGGCGCGCTCGCGCGGGTGTTCTTACCATTAGCCTGGCATGGATGCAGTGCTGACAACGACAACAACAACGACAACGACAACAAACGACAACGACAACGACAACGACAACGACAACGACAACAACAACAACAACAACAACAACAACAACAACAACAGCAACAACAACAACAACAACAACAAGGACCAACAACAAACAACAAACAACAAACAACAAACAACAAAAAACAAACAACAAACAACAAACAACAAACAACAAACAAGCAAACAAACACACAAACAAACAAACAAACAAACAAAAACAAACAAACACACAGACAAAAACAAGGAAACACCAACAAAAGCAAACAAAAACAAACAACAAACAAAAAACAAACAACAAACAAACACAAACAACAACAAACAAAATCAAACAAACAAACAAACAAACAAACAAACAAACAAACAAACAAACAACAACCAACAACCAACAACAACACCAACAACAACAACCAACAACCACAACACCAACAACAACAACGACAGCGACAACGACAACGGCAACGACGACCACGACGACGACGACAACGACGACAACGACAACAACGACAACAACGACAACAACCACGACAACAACCACGACCACGACAACGACAACGACAACGACAACAACAACAACATCAACAACATCAACAACATCAACAACGGCAACGACAACGACAACGACAACAGCAACAGCAACAGCAACAGCAACAGCAACAGCAACAGCAACAACAACAACAACAACAACAGCGACAACGACAACGACAACGACAACAACCACAACCACAACAACAACAGCAGCAGCAACAACGACAAGAACAAGCAGCAGCAGCAGCAACAACGGCAATAACACAAAACTAACAAACCGAACAAACTACCCAAGACAAGCAAAGCAACCAACCAACAAACAAAGCCAAACAAAACAAAAACACAATCACGCAAACAACACAAACATATCAACCACGACCGAACCTGACCAAACAATCCAAAGCAAGCAAGCAATAAGGTAAGCAAGCAAGGGAGCAAGCAAGTAAGCAAACAAGCAGCGAGCAAGCAAACAACCAGAACTAGGAAACCGAGTTCAGGACATTTCTGTTCAATCCCGCGAGGGCATAATATGAAGCGATGCCCAAAAGTGTGGGGCGGCTGGGGTGTTCTTTCGCCGTGCTTCTGGAATGCCAACTCTTGGAAAACACCCATGCAGTGCTAGGCTTGTCAAATTCTGGTGGATTGGTGGATTGGGCATTTTCCCCCAATGGGAAAGCAGCGCTGCGAAAGACGCTGGGACTCAAGCCTTTGAAAGCCATGCGAAGTCTGTTCAAGACCCCGTACCACGGAAAATACCAACAACTAAACACACACCCAGGATGCTTGGGCCGCCGAAACGTGCAGTCCCTTGTGACTGATGTGTGTCATTGTCAACTTGTAAATATAGGTTGCTACATCTCGATTGCAAAGGTCGATGCCCATCGAACTGACCGGGCCTCCTGATCACACATGCCACCAACCAGTCTGACAGACACAAATCAAATGCGTATCGTGCTTGAGGACCCGATAAGACCACAAACAATTGACAAGCTGTTCGTTGCCAGGTGGAAGTGTGTGTGGCGACAGGGCTGAGGTATGTGTGTTTTGTGCTTGATTCGAAGATAGTCCCGCTGCTATTGACTCTTCAGCTTAGGACGCTGGAAGCCGCCCAGCAAAAACCCGGGTGGATGGTGCAATAGCAGTTTACGTGTTGGCCTGTTCAGGCTTAGTTGCCGAATTGCGTTGCGTATTGCGGGCTACCGCTATCGAACGGCAAGCGTCGTACCACATCCTGAGCATCATCAGTTCCTCTCCGGCATTCATTTTTTGGTAGGTACGTAGGTAGGTAGGTACGAATGTACGTGTGCATTAAGCAGCAGCGGGGGGTGGTTGGGGGAGTGGCGGCAGCCCCCGCCATGACGTTCGAAGAAGTGATGATTCAGTACAGGGTGCGTGTGTGTTCATCGGGGGGGGGGGGGTTGGGGGGGCCAACCGCCCCCCCGCCTGCTACCCGAAGAAGCGAACATTCAACACTGGGTGCGTCCATCTCTGCAAAAAATCCGCCGACCCCCTGCCTGCAAGGGGAAGGCGCTGGGGGGAGTGTTCGTTTAGCGTTGGAGCGTGACTGTGGCAGCCTTCTCCCTTCCCTTTCGCCCTCGCCCGTTCAGCCCTGTACCTTACCAGCCTTCTTTCTTTTCCTTTTTCTTGTTCTTCTTCGTTTCTTTTCTTTCCTTTTCCTTTCTGCTGCCGGCGCACTCCTTTGGTTGGTGCTCGCTGTGGACAAACGAGTGCGGCCTGGAAAAGCGCGGGAAGCGAAGCTTTTGTGGCTGGCCGCTCCCTCTGGACCGATAGCCTTGCTGCATATTGGAGACCGATAGCTTTCTACTTTCTATATAGGATTCAAAAGTGACGTTCGGCACCCGGCCGCGGCGGAGCAGCCGCCCTTGGCAAGACGCACAGCAAACCCAAAGGGAGAAAGACCAGGGATAGGCAAACTGTGACAGACGCAGGCGCACATTGAACCCGGTCCCTCTCGCATGCTGAGCGGGTGTGATGCCACCACACCAACTGCCCCTGAGCTGAGGCCGAGAGTGCTCAACTACCTGCTGGGCACAGCTTTCAGTTCGGCATGTTTTCTTCCTATCTGCTGCCGGCGCACTCCTTTGGTTGGTGCTCGCTGTGGGCAAACGAGTGCGGCCTGGAAAAGCGCTCAAGCACCTGCAGGGCACAGCTTTCAGCGCTGAAGCTCTGTCACGGCCCGCCCGTCCGGCCTTTTTTCTTCCTTTCTGCTGCCGGCGCACTAGCTGCTCAAAAAAAAGCTGCCAAAATAAGACATGCCAAAAGGAAAGGACTGCTGGTTGCTTCAACCTTTCCACCTTGGCAGACCAAACTTGGACAAACACCCTGCATAATTACCACATGCAACTTGCGCTGTGGTCAACAAATCATTTGAAGGGTAATGTTATGTAATGATCAATGCAAGCAACATGTATGCAGCCACCGTCTCGTGCCGTTTTTTTCTTTTGACTAAAATGAAAGCAAGTCAGCGAGTCATTGGTGGCCGCCGCCATTTTGGAACAGAAATTGCCACGCCCACGTCAATAGGCTACTCGAGCCTCATTCCGCAAATGCACCGTACAAACAAGCAAGCAAGCAAGCAAGCAAGCAAGCAAGCAAGCAAGCAAGCAAGCAAGCAAGCAAGCAAGCAAGCAAGCCTGAACCAGCAAAAAGCCGCTGCCAGAACAAAACAAACCTGGGCTGGCCCCCAGTGGAGGGGTCGGCGGCACTGGGCGGCAGCCCTTAAATCCGGCCACCGGGGGGCTTCAGACCCCGTGGTCCGTGATACGGCCGAGGCCTAGGCCCGCAGGGCCTACCTTCAGGTATAAGGCCGTCCGCCCCATGCCGCCGACCCACCCGCAGCGCAAGCTGGGCCCACCCTTATAACGAGTGTTTTTTGGGGGGTGCCCATAGTGGACAACATCCCCGGCATCACCTGCATCATCCGCATCCTTGGCGGACATTGATGCGGATGATGCCGGTGATGCGGGGGATGCTGGGGTGTTGTTCCCTAAGTCGGGCCAACTTTGCCGAAAACGTGCAACCTGAAAATCTTAAAATCTTAAAGTGGATGGAAAATGGATGGAAAATGGCCTGGATTGAAATCTCAAAATCCTAAAGTCTTAGATTCTTAAAATCTTACATTAAAATCCAACAATCAATCTTAGAATCTCGAGATCTTAAAATCTTCGAACTTAGAATCTTAAAATCTGAAAATATAAAAACATCCTAAAGTCTCGGGGGATGCTGGGGATGTTGTCCCCTAAGTCGGGCCAACTTTGCCGAAAACGTGCAACCTGAAAATCTTAAAATCTTAAAGTGGATGGAAAATGGATGGAAAATGGCCTGGATTGAAATCTCAAATCCTAAATTCTTAGATTCTTAATATCTACTAATTGGACTTACAGGAAAGGGAAGTGACAGAACGAGCAGGGCAAGGTGCCCGGTGGCCGGCTGTGTCGCGTCAGCGTGTAATAAAGAGGCAGCAAGGGGGTTGGGGGGTGGGGCAGCCCCCCATGACGTTCGAAGAAGCGCACACATACAAACAAACATACATACATAGATTACATAGATTACATACAAAAGTATCAAAACACTTGCCGGAGAGGAACTGGTCATGCTGCCAAAGCCAAACATGTTACCACAGGGCACAAAAGACTGCAGCCGGAGAGGAACTGGGAAAGCAGAGGATGCGAAAAGCCGAAGGCAAAAGCTGCATAAACCCATGCAAAAAGCTACAAAGCCAAGAACCCAAAAAGCCAAAAACGATCAAACATCAAAAAACAACAACACACAATCTTTAAAACATATCCTCCACGATTCAAAGCACGTGCGAAGAAGAGTGCCAAGTGCCGCAGTGATGCCGGAAACAAATTCTGGCATTGCCTGTTCCAGCTGCTCGGACTGCTTCGCAACGACTGATGTGCTGCCGACAATTATTTGCTGCAAGTCGTAGTTTTGCCCCTTGCAGGCCACGTAAGTCATGACTTGAACAGGGGCCTCGCACACGTCTGGCTTTTGCACCAGTGTCATAACTTGGTGTGCAATTGGAGTCTTGGTCTTCACAGGGGTCGTGAAAGCGCGTTCCTTTGAGGGTAGCCCCTTTGCACGAATCCCTAAGGAATTTAGGCCCCATTGACAGTTCGACTTCCAGCCTCAAAGAGCTAAAATTGCAGGTCAAAGAGCCAAAGCGCTACCCCACGCAAATGTTGACGGTCTAACGAAATGGGTTGGTCCAAAGAAAAGGCTTACCTTCAAACTATCGCGGAATCTTTCCGAAACCAACTTGTGACCCCAATTTGTCGCTGGGTTGAGGGTGAGTCTCGAACAGAGCTGTCTCAATGGCAAACCTTTTTGGGCCAAGTTCGGAGTCGACATCGTGCCGGAGGCGCTGCTCCTTGGAGATGGTCTTCACAGCGCGCTGTGCGCCGGTGGATTTCACAACGCCCCGCTGTACCGTGCCGTAGGATCCTCACAGGGAGATTGCCGTAGGATCCTCGTAGGTTTCCTTGGCTCCCCTGAAAATGCAAACAAAAAGTCCGCCACGCTGAGAAACTCCCAAAAGGACAACTTTTGGGAGAAGGGAATCCCAGCAAGATGTCTCCCAATGCATTGTGCGAAGACCACAAAGGAGTGGACAGGGATGATGTAGCACCAAAAGGATAATCCAATTTGCACAATCCACCAACCTCAAACAGGCAACCTCAAGAACCTCATAAAGAAGGGTATTCATCTTGGTGGTGACCTTTGGCATCCACCCCTCGGGATATAACCTCATTAGGTAACACCAAACTGATTTGTTAAAGTAGGTGACCTGTGCAGGAAACCAGGCCTGAACACTGTTTAAAAGCAAAGGGAATGCCTGAGCTACCTGCTACAATCCACCTATCCGGGAGTGTGTCCATGTGAAACCGAAAAGGAAAAGGGATTTGATTTACGTGTAGCCTCCCTCGAAAACCAACCCCAACAAGGGTACCACCACGAGAGTTTTGCAAAATAGGGAGTCCCTTTTGTGTATATCTCATTTTTGGGGGACAGACTGGGGCCTCCCTACCATTCAAGAACTTGGTACCGTATGGGAAAAATGAAACTTGCCTTTGTTGGGTGGATAAACGGATCAAAAGGGGCATTGAAACTTGTGGGTTCCAAGAAAAGTGCAGCCTGAGGGCGCGGACAAAATTCAGGTACACGTAATTAGAGGAAAACGATATTTGCTGGGATCCTTTCGCGGGTCTTCGTCAGGAACTTCACCAGGTGCGCTGCAGAACACGTTTGGATATGTCTCACCTCTCTCCGGTTGGGACTGAGATACAAGCAGTTACCTGAGCATATCTGCAAGCTTTCGGAGTTAACATGCCCAACAAACAACTAACATGTGACCGATACAGTACAACATACATGAGAAGTAGGTCTCAACAAAGGGAATCCTTGTGCCAGCTGCGAACTTGCACCATCGGCTAAGGCCGTTCAAACCGAACGCTGAGTAAACTAGAAGCGTGTCTTGTTTCGTACATGTGTTAGTGCTGAATTGCAAAGAAAAGCGGGATGAAACGAAAGGGATATTCAGCTCGTAGAACCTGGAAACAAACTAGCTATGTTTTTGGCACCTGGACAAAAGCAACAACCAACAAGGTCACAACTCGTTGATGTTTTGGTTTGGCGAACGACGCTGTCGAAGGGTTCTGAACGGTCTTCAGGCGTCATCCAGAGAGGGTGCCAGTTAGGACTATGTTAAAATAAAGCCAGAAAAGGGCGCTACACCCTTTCGCGAAATATCAGCTATGAAGGGTCCACCAGTACCATATCAGGATGGTTCTTGGAGGGACCCTCAGCAGGCACTTGGAATTTCAGAGCCGGAAATGCCACCAAGATCTGACCTTTGTTTGGGTTCCATCTCGAGATGCGCTCAGGCTGACACTGGGGGCAGTTGCGTCAACGCCTCCAAGGGGTTCACAATTCCGTTTCTACTTACTTTGGAAAGCAAGACAACATGCACCAACCCTTAATCCCGGGTCAAGCGTCTTGGCGCCTACTGCGATAATTTGAGGTACGCCGATAATTTGAGCCCTTGCGGGCTAGACAACGCACAGAAGCGCTTGAGTCACAGGCCTGAAGTTCAAGAGATATACAGTTGCACTTGCATACAGGCTAATGCAGGTATCCAACCTGAAAGTTGACAACAACTCAACTTGGAACTCGGCGCCTTGCTCAAATTGGTTGAATTACTAGAACCCAAGCTGACACTCGCAGCCTTGAAAGGACGCTCTCTCTTTCTCTCTTTCTCTCTTTCTCTCTCTCACACACGCGCACGCACTCGCACGCACCCGCACGCACCCGCACACGCCCCGCACACACAGCACACGCATACACACAACCCGCACGCACGCACGAACGCACGCACGCTCGCACGCACGCACCCAAACACACACACACACACACAAAAACACAAAAACACACAAACACAGACACACACACAGACACACACACACACAAACACAAACACAAACACACACACACACAGACAAACAAACAAACAAACAAACAAACACACAAACACACAAACACACAAACACACACAACCACACAACCACACAAACACACAAACACACAAACACACAAACACACAAACGCACACACAAACACACAAACACACACACTTACACACACACACACTTACACGCGCACACACACACGCACACGCACACACAAACACACACAAACACACACAAACACACACAAACACACACAAACACACACACACACAAACACACACACAAACACACACACACACACCCACCCACCCACCCACCCACCCACCCACCCACCCACCCACGCACGCACGCACGCACGCACGCACGCGCTCACTTACCCACGCACGCACACACGCACCCACCCACCCCACACACATACACATACACATACACAGACACAGACACAGAAACAGACACAGACACAGACACAAACACACACACACACACAAACACACACAAACACACACAAACACACGCAAACACACACAAACACACACACACACACACAACACACACACACACACACACACACACACACACACACACACACACACACACACACACACACACACACACACACACACACACACACACACGCACACACACACACACACACAAACACACACACACACACACAAACACACACACACACAAACACACACAAACACACACAAACAACACACACACAAACACACACACAAACACACAAATAGAAACACAGAAGCACAGAAACACAGAAACACACACACACACACCTGCGCGAACGCGCGCATGCGCACATGCGCACATGCGCAAGCACGCACGCGCACGCACACGCACGCGCTCGCACGCGCACGCACGCACGCGCACATGCGAACGCAGGCGGACGCGCGCGCGCACACACTGGCACATGCCTGCACTGCGCACACACGCACACTCTCTCTCACACACAAACACACCAGGGCTGATTCATTGAAAATGGCCCGAATTGAGTTGAAATTGGTGTTGCGGTTTCAAGTCGGCGCCGTGCGCAAGCTGGGGGCAGCGGCTGGTGGTTGGGTAAGCTGAAAATGATCAGGAAGGAATGGCATCTCTTTCATACCTTAGCCATTCCTGTTTCCTTTCCAAAATGTCAAACCTTCATTCACATGTGTGAAACGCGCCGAACACTATTGTGCGAAACGCTTTCGCGAAATTTGCGACCCCATGTTTTGCTTTCGCGGGCTTCGCTTTTTTAGCAATGCTTTCGTGGCGCTTTCGCGGCAGGCTTTTCGAAACACACGCTTTGGACTGCATGAGCTCAAAAGCTGCAGGTTCCTTTTGAAAGATGGCCATTAGCCTTCTGCAAAGTGAGTTCCACAAACGGCTGTGCGCCCCAAATGCAAGTGGATGTAGAGCAACTCCCGCTCGGGGCTTTCGCGGCGGGCCCTTCTAAAGGCACCTTTGCGAAACGCTTTCGCAAGCTTCTGCGGCCTGCGTTGTGGCTTTCGCGGCGGGTCTATAGGACATCCAACCTTTACTAAATTGTATTGCCAGGGTTTATGGCGCTGCTCACCCGGTCACGCCCTGATGCTGGTTCTTCCCTTCGCCATGACCCTCTCCATAGATATATATATATATATACATTTTTCCAGGCCGCGTGCACTCTCGCGGGAGTGGCGGGGTTTGAGTTTGTTTCGGGTTGGTCTAGGGTTGGCTTAGGGGCGGTTTTAGGGTCAAGTTGGGGGTGTAGGATTGGTTTCGGGTTGGGGCTTGGGGTTGGGATGCGGGTTGGGTTGTCCTATGCAAGGGTGCGAGTTCAGGTGCTCGAGGAGTGGGGCTCGAGGCTCTTCTCATGCTGGTATCCTCTTGACATGCCTGGAAGACTTTGCTGGGTCCTCGTCCCAGCATGCCGTCTTGCAGTGTGTAGAAACAAGAAATATCCTGAGCGCAGTTCGATCACAGTGCTTCCAAGTGCACACTAAGTGCTTTGGTAAGTCATCAAGGGACCAATATGACAGTCCCTTGGTTACGTACCGTAAAGCAGTTGCTTGTTTGGCCAACGCGCGTGGAACCATGTCACACTTCGGCTTGTGCATGCCCCAAGGTCGGCAAGATTTGCACGGTTCACCAGCGGCTGCAATATCATTGCCGGAAAGTAACTTCAATGAGTCAGGAAGCATTGTTGCCCGCCGCCCTGCTATTCGCCCCGTCCAAGCATAACCTCTTGGCGGGGATACTCCATCTCCATCCGAGCCCCTTGAACAGGAAAACTGCATTCGCGGGGTTGGCCTTCAGGTTCCTGGCGTTGTCTACCATGGGCCGGCTTTCTCTGTTGCTCTTTGAGTTCAGGGTGAGGACTACAAAGTGGTCCTTTGGCATCTCAGAAGTTGAACGTAATTTCTTGCATGCACCGGGGAGTGGAAACTTAAAGGTGTTGCGCTTTGAATCGGCTACAAACACTTTGCACATGGAAAGTGAAAAATCTTGGCAAAAAGGCCTGCAGATGATCACCGCTTGAAGCGTGTCACGGGAAAACAACCAAGCCCGAATATCCTTCCCCGGAACGTGCCCGAAACCCGGGCCCCCAAGGGCTGCATACGCAGCGTTGCAGCTGTCGCTGAACTGGCGCAAGCCAAAAGTCGTCCTGTGAGCCTCACTATCCAAGAAACCCGGGGGTTCTCCACGATGATCCTGAGGCGTTCCTTAGAAAGAAAAAGCAACAGCTGAGAATGCCTGCGTGCTGTATTTGTTTTAATCGTTGTTCATTGCGGCGTTCTGCAAAAAAATTGCTGACCCGTCCGCTTGCTTGAACCGTTGCTTGCGCAGCGTGCTTCTTCCACATTCAGATGATGAAAAAATATGTTGCTGCCGCCAATTTTGCTCATTTTGGACATTCTGTCACGAAAAAACCTGCGATTGCCTTCAACACCGTCCCCACACGCCTAAAATCATGGCACACACACACGCACGCAAACACATGAAGGCAAGTAAGGGGAACCATCTTAAATGTTGGGAATGTCCCTTAGCCTTACTAACCATCAACATGCTTGTAAGACGTTGGCCGGCTTCTGTGATGCCACAGCGTGCGTTCCATCCCTGTGACTTCTTTGTCACTTTAAAGGGGGTTGCCTGGTTCTCACAAAATGTAGGTCTGAAACATACCCAATTCCCGAAGTCATGTCCTTAAAACCGGGCCTTAGTTTTGGCTCAAGACCTTGCAACCAAGCAGTCAGCTCAGCCTACCTAGGTTGATGGTTGGTCCCGAAGAATACGTTTTTGGAACTTAACAGGATCCCAACGAATACTTCCGATATCGTACGGCCGGCGACAAAGCAGAACAAACGGACCCCGCCCCCTTTCCTCGGTCGATCTCGCAAGGAACTCACCGCTCCGGCTCAGCTCCGGCTCCGGCTCCGCGCTGGCGACGCTTCGGTTTTTGCTCCGGCTTCGCTCCGGCATTCATCTGCACACTGGTTGCATCAAAGGGGGAGACGGAGATGGATGCGTGGAGCCGTTCTTGCCTCCGGCATTCAATACCCCCCCCGGACCAAACAACAACACCGCCATTCAATCAGCTTTGCTACCGCATGGGAGCAGAAGATGCGGAGTCATTCTCGGTCCTTGAAGATCATGATTCGTCCGCAGTCAGGAAGGTGTCAGGGCGAAATTTGTCAGGAAGAAGAAAAGGAAAACCCAAGACGAGGTGGCTTCAAGCCCTTCAGAAGGAACAGCGCAGACGGCAAGGCCAACCTAGCCAACGAAAGCAGCCAAAGAAAAGAAAGAAAGGAAAGGACAGAGAGGACAGAAAGGACAGTTCAAGTCGGCGGAAACAATGGTTATCCCTCATAAAATGACGGCAAAGGAAAAAGGCGGAGAAGACAAGGGGCAAAGCAAGTCCAAGACAGTCGCCGCCATAGCAGAGACGACGCAGAACCAAACTGACGCAAACAACCTTGTGACAACAGCCTCGGCAATACATCAGCCTGAGCAGGGGGAAACCATGCACTTAAAACAAGGAAGGAGAGCAACAGTGGTCAGACGCACGACTTGGCACATGTTCGCAGCGAACAGTTTGCCGATGAGTTGATCAAAGGGTGGGTCACGCCACCTGAATTCGCTGCGTGACACTTCTGGAATTTGCACTCCATCAGTGCTGACTATTGCACCTGACCATGCGTGGTATTCAAGAAATTTGCGTCTGCGACCGCAGTCAGTTTGACTACTCCTCTCGTTTCAGCTGTCTCGGTCTTGCGCGCAATCTTGCCTTGACGACACGCCACCCATCTCTATGCTCGCAACACCACCTCGCCACTCGGCTTGCAAGCAGAACGATGGATGATCTCCCAATAAAACACACATGGCCTACCATCGCACTCCAATCAGGATCCTCTTCCCCAAGATGACCGGGATGAGATGGAGGCCAAGGAAGAAGGAGCCGACTCGGGAGATAAAGCAGACGCACCCGAGAGTGGCATCCGATGAGGTGATCCAGAAGAAGAAGTTGAAGTCGAGGAACGGATGGAAGAGAAGCTGCTTCGTCCTTTGCGCCTTGCGCCGAAAGGAAAGCACATGCCGAAGAAGGGGGGTTTATTCAGCGACTTTGCTCCATGTGCTGCTTCATCGAGGAGGGCCCGCGGAATTTTGGGGTCGACATCTTTCCGATGGCTTGTCGCAATCATCAGCTCGACATGCAGAAGCAGGTTGCAATTTTTGAGCCCTTTCTAGGAGTTTGGGATTTCATCAGGATGCGTGTGAGGCCTCACGTCTTTGATCCTCTGGAGAGTCGATGGATTGATCAGAGTATTCTCCGCATATGATAACAATGATGGGTCATGTGAGCTCTACCAGAACACCAATTCCATCAATCATGTGTCCATCTAAATGAGCCGAACTTGAGTTGGCTTTCGCTTTCCCAAGTTTGACGAAACTACAAGAACAGGCAGAGGGACGGACATATGGTTCCACCAGTCCGGAACACTTCTGGGGAGAGGACCGCCATCACTGGTCACATGGCGGTTCGCTTCGTCGTGGCCTGCAACTCAGTGAGACAAAGGGTTCACCATTCGGTTTCTCTCATGAGAGCCTTGACAAAGAACAAGTCCGAGAAGCATGCAGCCAGGACTGATGAGTTCGTTGAAGAGTTCTTCAACCACATCCATCACAAGCCAACCGAGACGAGGAAGAGAAAACTTTCGACTCTCGACCGAAGAAAATGAACCTGATCACGGATATGCCTTGGCCACATCCCAAGTCGGTCAAGTTTTTCAAGACAAAAATGAGCTACCGAGACTCTGTCAACGTCGAGGACATCACGTCAACCTAAAGCAGCAGTCCTTCTTTGACACAATGACTGAAAGCAACACGAGAAAGAGTTGCAAGACACCAAGCAAAGTTACCAGAGTCTCATGGATCAGTGCGCAGCTGATGCGAAACGGGCTCCTTGGCAGACATCAGTCCGAAGACGAACTATCCCGAGAGCGACCGCTACTACCAAGAACACTCAGAGCTGCCAACGTTGGAGGGCAAGCACATCACGAGCCATACCAACAACAAGAAGATTCGCGAATATGTGCGAACTCTGGGTTCACTCCTCCAGTCAACCGACAAGCCGGTCATTGAGCATCAGTCAGACAAAAATCTTCAATCAACAATCATGCTCTATGTGCTCACGGCGAACCTTTGCAGTTTGGCAAAAGATCCCGAGCTGGACGGCAAAGTCACCACGGGCCCATCGATGAGAGTCCCGTGTCTGCGTCAATGAGGCCGACGCATTCTTCATAGATGATACTGCCAAGAGTGATAAGGTTATCATCTTGCCAAGGCGTTCATCAACGCAGGCTACCGGGCACGAGACCAATCGCACGCTTTGTCATGGGCAAAAAGCCCTCCCGCGTGGAACTCGTTGCGAGGCATGCATCATGAGAAGCCGGCGTGATGAATGCAGAGCTGGCTTCGAAAGTCAGAGAGCTAAAGGCATTCTGTTCCAGATGAGGATTCTGAGAGGTCCCAGTTGTCCAGTTCCACATGTAGTGATGGCAACATGGGATAATTTATAAGATGATGCGCTGGCACGCGCGCTGAAGACAAATTAGAAAAAAAACAGCAGAAAAGTGAACTACCACAGCGTCCTGCCCTCTGATTAAAAGGTATCGGGTACATGGAAACCCGCAACGCAAAACCATGTTCGGGGGGTTTTGGGGGGGTTCGGGGGGGGATGTTAAGCACACGTTCTCCAGCGCTGCAACAGAGACCTGGCCCCTTCCATCCCTGCACGCCTGCCCCCGCCGCTTGTCTTTCCCCACACCCCGATCCCGTTGCACGTCAGTGAGCCAACGCTGCCCTGGGCACTTGCGGGCACTTCGCCCCACGCGCCAAGCGGCCGAGCTCATTGAAGAAGCGGCTGCTACACATCTGGTTGTTAAAGCAAAACAGCCACGAAAAACACAAGACACGAAGCTTCGGGTTGATCTGATGATCCACTTTGGTGGCAACATGTGCGCCGACAAACTGCTTCAGCGCTCTCCAGCGCGAATCAATAGACATGGTCCCTGCAAGATTGGAGCGCCCAGCGGGCGTCACACACTCTCTAATGAATTCCTGTCTGCTGTGGACAGCAACGCGGCTATGCGCGTTGCGCAGCCCACTGATGGCAAGAGCTTTCGGGTACGCCTTGGCCCCGTCACTGAAAAAACCGGTCCGAGACCGCTTTCGGATTTGCGCAAGCAATCCTGACCCACAGACCTCCTGGCAGCTCTCCACCGGCGGCACCCCGTTCTTGGCCACAAGCTTGTTTGGCAAGAAGGTCATCGCCATCATGCCACCCCGCTGGCACAAGCCAAGCAGCCTCACATGCATCTTGTAGGCCTTGGCTTTTTGTCCACGATGGCGCCGCTCAACGGCCTCCACCTCAGAGCGGAAGTGTGCATTCTTGGCTGAGATGAAGCATCGCCGCAAGCTAGTGCAATCTCCTCACACAGACTGAGTTTCAACATGTCAAACCTAGACATGGCCGAACAAAGCAGTCCTTCCACATCGCCACTGAGCTTGATCTGCGCAGACTGACTCTCGCCGGCGGTGGCCTCGAGGTGAAGCAAGGCGCTGGCCACGTTCTCCGGCTTGACGGGCAATGCCTTTCACATTCGGCGCAGCTGTGTGCTTGGCCCCTGTGTACTGGTGCACTATGGAAAGCAGCTTCTGCGGAGTGCACTTGGTGCCACGAAAAGGGCCGTAGCTGCACACTGAATTTCGAATTTCGAGTGCGGCAGGTGCGCTTCCGGCGCCGCACTGTCAAGTGCTGGTCCATCTCCTGCATCTTCTCAAGGCCTTTGCTCCCACATGCCAGACACCGTAAAGGACGATGCAAGAAGCCTGCGCTCTGAAGTAGCTGGTGCCACTGGCATTGGCACCGCAGAGCCTGCTGAACTCTGTCATTGTGTGGCAACCATGACTTGTCATCCTCCTGTTTCTTGACACTGTACCTGGCTGCTGCTTCTTTGCGATCTGGCCCACGCTTGCGTCCAGGCCTTGCGCGGCGATTGTTGGCACCATCACGTCTCCGCTGCCCCAGAGCCGCCCGCAACTTCCTGATCTCCCTGCCTGCCCAACTGTCACATGTTTCCAGCCTGTGCCCTTGCTTGCCGCAAGCGATGCATGCCCTCGCCCCAGGCTGCTTCTTCCTGCTGGGAGCCATGCTGCGACTATT